TGTAGAAATGGTGATGGTACCATCTCTAGTTTCCGAGATATAGTCTTCTAGTTTTTAGCCCTACTATATAATACTATACGAATAAACATCGGGCTTGGGGACATCGAAGTACCCTATCCTGGGGTCTGAAATTTTGGGAGTGGGGTACTACTTGCCCGATACCACTTCTATGAAGAAATGGTGATGGTACCATCTCTAGTTTCTGAGATATGGTCTTCTAGTTTTTAGCCCTACTATATAATACTATACGAATAAACATCGGGCTTGGGGACATCGAAGTCCCCTACCCTGGCGTCTGAAATTTTGGGGGTGGGGTACTAGTGGCCCGATAGCACTTCTATGAAAAAATGGTGATGGTACCATCTCTAGTTTCCGAGATATGGTCTTCTAGTTTTTAGCCCTACTATATAATACTATACGAATAAACATCGGGCTCAATATTTGGAATACATGTTCTTCATACCTATAAATAGCAGGAAAACCCATGTCTAAATAATTTATCGCATTGTCTCTGTATTAACATAAGATATTGTCTACTAAAATACGACAGATTAGATCTACATGTACATGTGTATAATTAAGTTATTAGGGTTTTAGGCGTTTACCATTTTAATAAGAATCCAGCAATCAAAAACAAAAAAAAGGAGGGGGGGTTACAGAAGAAGAATTTAATAATAATTCAAGTGGAATAGGATATCCAGTATTTTGGATATGATGTATAATAAAAGTGTTCTTATAATTTTTTTTAGATTTCTTTCTCTATGAATATGAAAATTTTATATAGCAAGATTTAAGTTCTTTTTTTAAGCTGTAAACTTTCATTACAAACTTTTGTTTGATAACATACCGATATTGCCCTTTCATGATGTTTATTCATAGATAGACTTCACAGAAATGCAAAATACTTTTTTTTGTGGAGTCGATAAATAAATGGATTGACCGTATGAAAGGACTACCAGGTACGTTTGTTAGCTTTTTAACTGAAAAAAAAATTGTATAAACCATAAGTTTTCTTTTTCATCTTTTTTTTATCCAACAAACGAAGTTTTGAGGTGTATATATATAGCCGTCTGTCTGTCTGTATAGCTGTCTGGTAACATGTACAAACGGGTCCGGTCCACATATATCTTTTGATGAAAATAAAGATTGTACTTCTTCCTACAAAAATTGCTCATGACCTAAGGATGTGCCATGACCTTAACCTAAGGTCTTTTTAACAAGTTCAAGGTCACCTGAAGAACTTTTTCATAAATCGTATCCGGTCCATATCTTATGTATACACTTAGTGAGTTCCCATTTTACACTTAGATTCCTTATGACCTTAGGTTGTGCCATGACTTGACTTAAGTACATTATTTCATGTATTCAAGTTTAACTTTAAGAAAAAGTTCATAATTATATTTTTTAAGCAAAACAAAAAAATGAATCTACCACTTTACACAAAGATTGCTAATGACTTAACGGTGTGTCATGACCTTGATTCAAATTATTCTGTGGAAATCCAATGTGACTGGTCCAAAGCTTACCTATGGATATATTTAGTTGGGTTTCCTTTTATAAAAAGATTGCTAATGACTTGAAAGTTTGACTCTATCTTTAGTCATGTTTTTTTGTGCACGTTCAATGTAACAGGAAGAAAATAGAAATATGTCCATAGGACATAAATGCCCCGCCGAAGGAATACCGGGGTATTAGTAATGCAGCATGAAAATTTGTATGAAATTTGTTCAGAATATCTTGAATAGTGATGCAGTTGAATTACTTACATCAGTATGTATCAGCATATCAAGTTTCAGAAAAGTGAGGTCAAGGCAAATGAAAGGTCATGGTTAAAAACTTGTGATACAGTTGAACAGTTGTATGTATCAGCATAAAAAGTTGAAAAAAACATTATTAATGTTTTAATACAATTAAATTTTAAGCTTAAACACAATTTGATAAAAATGAGGTCGAGGTCAAATGAAATGTCAAAGACGAAATGTTGATGTAGTTGAAATGCTTACATCAGTATACGTATACATCAGCATATTAAGTTTGACACTAATTTTGGAAAAGTGGGTTATTTTAAAACTGAGCTTTGAACTGAGCTAAACCCGAAATAAGAGTCAGATCAAAAAGTAAAATATGAGGTGCACAGTACCATTATGTAATGGATCTGTGTAAGTATAATTAAAGAACGGCGAACATTAGTATTGTTCTCCTGCCTACCTCCAAGTCAGTTTTCAGAAATTTGGATATCTGAATTAATCACACCAAAGCCTTTTTTTAATTTGTTTCACGAGGGGGAGGGGGGCATATGTTTATACTATAAATGTTATAGAGAAAAACGACAACAATGCTTATTTTTTCAGCAATTCCAAACTGCTTTACAACTGAAACATTCTATTCTTACTAATATATATGCTTCCTTTTGTATACATAAAACATATGAAAAGATTTCAGATACATTTATTTATATCCAAGATTATTTCAGAATATGGTGATGCTCTTTGACCCGATTTCAGTGAATTATATCGCATACCCCCTTAATTTCAAGAACTAGAGCTAGTATGATTTACTTTTCCTTTTTTGCACAGATGTTAAATAAACGATCAATTAGCATTGAACTGTTCTTTGTATTAAACAAATATTTTATGGCCAAATGTCAGCAATATTGAATTAAATGGTTTTAAAATGTAGGGAGAAATCAAATGTTAGCGTGCGTAGTTCTTTTATTCCGTGGTATAGGAGGAGTTGCAGATAAGAGATGCGTACTATTTAAAACTATAGAAAAATTGCACTGTCAGTGGTTTGCCTTGGAAAACCAAAAATATGTGTCCAATCAAAAAGTAAAATAGGAGGCCACAATGGCAATATATAACAAAAATTCTGTGAAAGTCTCATTAAATATCATTAGAACAATTGGGCCAATTTTAGTCAAACTTGGTAGACAGCATCCTTCTTTAAAGGGACTTTGAATTATTAAATTAAAGGGTTAGGTTCCCTTGCAAGTAGGGATCATCACGAAAAGGAAAGAATAGGGTTCTGGAGACTCTAACAGAACGTCAGATTAGGGGATCAAAATTTGCATTGAAATATATGTGAAAATCCTTTAAATTCTTCTCACGAACGTCAGGGTCAGATAAACTAAAACTTAAATGCAAGCATCTTATGGTAGATTATCTAAATCATTACCCTTGGTGGTAGGGGTTTGTTAATAACAAGCTTAAGAAGGGGTAAGAAACAGCATGATTAAAATAACTCAGGTGTGTCATATAAAACTTGTACCCTACCCTAAAAATGTCAGAAGCAGGGGTAGGGAACTTCGATGTCCCACAGGCCGATGTTTATTCATATACATGTAGAATTATATAGTAGGGCTACAAACTGGAGGGTCATATCTCGTAAACTAGAGATGGTACCATCACCATTTTTTCACAGTAGTGGTAACTGACCCCAAGTACCCTACCAACAAAATTTCAGACCCCGGGGTAGGGGACTTCGATGTCCCCGAGTCCGATGTTTATTCGTATAGTATTATAATATAGGGCTTAAAACTAGAAGACCATATCTCGGAAAATAGAGATAGTACCATCACCATTTTTTCACAGAAGTGGTATCTGACTCCTTGTACCCCACCCCCAAAATTACAGACCCCAGGGTAGTGGATTTTGATGTCCCTGAGCCCGATGTTTATTCTTATAGTATTATAATATAGGGCTTAAAACTAGAGGACCATATCTCGGTAACTAGAGATGGTACCATCACTTTTTTTTCACAGAAGTTGTATCTGGCCACTAGTACCCCACTCCCAAAATTTCGGACTCCAGGGTAGGGGACTTCGATGTCCCCGAGCCCGATGTTTATTCGTATAGTGTTATATACTAGGGCTAAAAACTAGAAGACCATATCTCGGAAACTACAATTGGTACCATCACCATTTTTTCATAGAAGTGGTATCTGGCACCTAGTACCCCACCCCCAAAATTTCAGACCCCAGGGTAGGGGACTTCGATGTCTCCAAGCCCGATGTTTATTCGTATAGTATTAAATAGTACGGCTAAAAACTAGAAGATCATATCTCGAAAAAAAGAAATGGTACCATCACTATTTTTTCATAGAAGTGGTATCTGACCCCTAGTACAGCACCCCCAAAATTTCAGACTCCAGGGTAAGGTACTTCGATGTCCCACAGGCCGATGTTTATTCGTATAGTATTATATAGTAGGGCTAAAAATTAGAGGACCATATCTCGGAAACTAGAGATGGTACCATCACCATATTTTCATAGAAGTGGTATGTGACCACTAGTACCCCACCCCCAAAATTTCAGACCCCAGGGTAGGAGACTTCGATGTCACCGAGTCCGATGTTTATTCGTATAGCATTATATAGTAGGGCTAAAAACTAGAAGACCATATCTCAAAAACTAGAGATGGTACCATCACCATTTTTTCATAGAATTGGAATCTGGCCCCTAATACCCTACCCCCAAAATTTCAGACCCCAGGGTAGGGTAATTCGATGTCCCCGAGCCCGATGTTTATTCGTATAATATTATAATATAGGGCTTAAAACTAGAGGACCACATCTCGGAAACTAGATATGGTACCATCACCATTTTTTCACAGAAGTGGTCTCTGGCCACTAGTACCCCACCCCCAAAATTTCAGACCACACAGCTTATCTTTAAATTTTGAATTGCGAACTGCGTTCTAGAACGCAATTCACTTTTGAATTGCGAATAGCGAACTGCGAACTGCGTTCTAAAATCTGAACGCCACATTCTTTCCTATATGTTACAAGAACTCATTAGAGGAAAATATAATGTTCAAATCAGATATTATGTGAATTGTAAACACAGTTATATATAATTATTATTATCTCAAGTCATAGTGCGAAGAAACACTTTATGAATTAATGCAACAATTCTTTTCTTTTATTTGAAAATATATTTTTAAAAATCATTGAAACTTATAATTTATATATTATTTTCCGTTTATTTGAAGACTACTTTCACTTTTGGCTGCAAACTATAAACACTTATTGCAATGATGGAATAACACAAAAGGATCCGAATCACACAACAGTAATCAAAGACTCCAGGGCGAATGTCAATTTTCAACCGGTAATTCTTGTTGCCACCCATAAAGACAAGCTGGTAAGAGCTGTTTACAATCAATTATCAACCTACATGTATATTTAATTTACATCTGCATAAAGTTATATTCTTTACATAGAAAAATGAAATAATCATAAAATTTTGTCATACCATATAACGTGTATTTTCTGTGATTTTCACAATTTTTGAGGAAATTTGGGGATGGGACATTTCCTCAAAATACAATCGTATAATATTTCAAATATGCCTTCAAGTATTTTTAACATGTATGATAAGTGGTGCCTATGTTTGACGAATTAATATTATTATTAGAGCATGGACCCATTCATATTTCTTGTAAGTGCAGAATTGTTAGTAGCACTTCTACAGTGTCCTCAAATAAAAAAAAACTGTATATTGATTGCGAACAAACAAGTGCGCTGTTTCCACAATTTATTTCTCCATGTTTTTTCAAGATTATCTAAATTATTACTAACCGTGTGATCAACATATTCTTGCACTCTTTCCAAAATAAAACTTTCATTATTATGATTATTGTTGTTAATCGCTCTTCTGCCCTGGAACATCGAAAAGTTCGCATATTGATACTGCTATTTTAATTTTCAAGATAATTCAATCCAAACCGCCTTGTACAGATGCAAACTACGACAGTAAGGGGAGTAAGGATTTTTTTTTTAAATCTAGATTTTTTGCAGTTGGGGTAACAATTTGGAAGAATTAATTCAGAACCTTGGGAACATTTTTGTACGCAACAAATTTACTATTTTAATGGGTGGCACTGTATTTCTCCGGTCTGTCAATATTTTTTTCTCGGAGAGTTAAAGTTCTGCAGCTGTAATACTTGGAATTCAATGTCCTTAAAAATGATGCGTCTACAAACTTATTGGTCTTAGATAGCAAGAAAATATGGATGACATCAAACCCCTACAACGTCATAATATACAACAGCAAAATATTGCAGGTTTTCTTTCTTTTCCTCCGTCTTTTGATTGATTGATTGATTGATTGTATACTGTTTAACGTCCCTCTCCAGAATATTTCACTGATATGGAGACGTCACCATTGCCGGTGAAGGGCTACAAATTTAGGCCTATGCTCGGCACTTACGGCCTTTGAGCAGGGAGGGATCTTTATCGTGCCACACCTGCTGTGACACGGGGCCTCGGTTTATACGGTCTCATCCGAAGGACCGCCCCATTTAGTCGCCTTTTACGACAAGCAAGGGGGTACTGAGGACCTATTCTAACCCGGATCCCCACGGGGCTTTTGAATATTTTGAATGTTTTATAATAAATACATGTATAACTGCTTGTTTTACACGATATAGCTTGAATTTCCCGTGAATGAAATATATGGAGATAACGAACAGTATTCAAGATTTAAAGTCCATAAAACATTACAAAAAACTCTAGCAGAGCAAAATCGGACCTTCTAAACATCAAAAGTGGGATCAGGTGCCATGGAAAAGTAAGCATACCCTGTCGACTGGTCACATTCGCCGTGTGCGTCTTGTCATGATCGGGAAATAACAGGAAAACACGTCGTCAATTAATGTACATGATAAATAAATGATTAACAATTAATATGAAAATATCATTCAAATCGGATTAGTTACGCGTTAATGCACATGTCATGCCGCATGTGATTTTATTCGATCAACTTGGAGTGGTTGATTATGCAACTGTTTGTTTAAGTTTTGAAAAATACCACGGGAATAATTTTCATTTTTGGTGAATAATTATGTTTATTTTATATTATGACTTGAATGTAATTATAATTACAATCTCTTTGTTAGATTTTCTTGATAAATAAAATCAAGAATAAAATAATGTACAATAAAATATTTTAGAACAAAAATTTTAATTGTTGTTTGAGTTTACTTGTACTGTTACTACAAGAATTTTTCAGGTCAACTAAGTAAACTTAGGTGATCTATTGCTGTTAGTTTTTTGTTCTTCGTCTTGTGTTGTGCAATAACATTGAAACATTTTTGTCCGTCTTCATTAATTGACATTTGAACATTTTCAGCTTATTCTCTGCAACCACTCATTGACTACCAATTGCAATCAAATTTGGCATAAAACATCTATGGTTGACGAAAAACTAAAAATTGTGAATTTCATGGTCCCTGACGCCCTGGGTCGCTGAGGGGTGGGGCCAAAGCTACTAAAATAATGCAACCTTTAAAAATCTTCTACTTTACTCCTGGACATCAAGAAGTCAAACTGTTTGCAAGACTGTAATCAGCTTATTAGCAGATTAGAGATTTCATGTAAAACCATGCTTAACTCGAGATTCTAGCAGCACTTTCCAGGTATTTTGGAAAACGAACTTTCCATCTCTACAAATCTTATGTTTTGAAATATCCCGGTTTATTGTTGTTCTATGGCATCATTTTTGTCACGAATGACCGAGGAAATGCCGACTGGGATGCGTACATGGCTGACAGAATATCATCGATGAAAATAAATTAGCATACCTGTTTAATTAATTGAACTCCATATGAATGTTACCGATATCTGCTTTTAAAATCCATGTTACGTATCTTTGTACATGCCGTCTTAGCCAAATTCTCTTTGCACGACATGATCAATTACTAAGTTACTTGATGTACACATATGACGTCATCAATGGTAGATTTTAATCAAAATGACAGATACAGCATACCAAAATGTAAACATTTTATTTTTGATAATGTTTACACGTTTCTATTTATTTCCAAGAGTTAAATTACATCTCTAATTACATGAATTAAGGAATGAGGCTTATTTCAACTTATATTATACGATATAGCATAACTTGCAATTGGGGCAGTTTACGTTTTACAAAGCGGTTTATGAAAAAGTGTAAACTGCCCAAAGTTTTGTTATATCGTATAATATAAGTTAAAATAAGCTTCATTCCTTATAATTTAATTCCAGTGCAGACAATGAGATAATTTTCTCCCCGGAATAAGGCTTCACAATGATTCAATTTTAAAAGTAACGTCAAGCGGAGTAATACGTTTTTTGACGTAAATCATTGTGACGTAGTCAAGTTATGTTATCCAAAATAGATAAAGTCTTTTATCCAATCAAATGGCGCGTTACAGGTCAAATTAAATTATATGCCAATATATTACGAAAACCCGTGTTCTAAAATTGACGTCATCTCGCTATCTACGACGTCAAAATATTTCACTCATTAAGTCAAGGTAGAATATTATGTATGCTTTTTTATCACCCTGCGAAGTTTTTATATGATATTCAGGTGACCTATGAGACAGGTGGGCCTCTTGTTTCAATTAGGACTCAACATTATGTTACAAAGAGGAACTATAAAAGTTAGAAGTTTGATTATGTTTAATAGCATAATACCAGTTCTCATGTAAATTTCATTGATACATATTCTGAATGAAAAAAGTAAACATAGCATTGTTCTAATAAATCGTAGAGTTTGATGATCCTACCCTGTATTATATATTTTTGTGGTATAGTGCAACCGCAGAATTGAAAACGCAAAAATTAATATGCTATTTTTAGGAGTTAAATCGAAAAAAGTTGAACCGCAGAAAAATACCCGTTTTACCTTATTTCATTTTTGTTCTGCAGGTAAAGATTCGCCCTCTTGAAAACTCATAATCGAACAAAATCTCATGTAATATTTATCTTTAACTTTGTATATATCACAACTCCAGAGGAACAACTGGGCTGCAATATACATTAAAGAAAGCTTATCTTAATACAATGTTTTCCCTGCATTGGCAAAAAGCTGGGTAAATTAAATCTTGTTTATTTGTCAGTCTGTCAGTCTATCAAATAAACTTTATCCTAGATTATATATTTTGGTCTTTAGGTCTGTAGATTCCTAAATTTACACGTACGCTTGGTATTAATTTTTTTTTTGCGAGATGCAATACGCGGCGAAATAAAATTACTCGCTTTTATTGCAATGGTGCTGAAATCCATTTAAAATCTTATGATCAGCCGTTCATTCGTGAATTATTATTCTCGCGATTTGTCGATGAAGGGCTCATTTGCAATAAAAAGTACTCACGAATAATAGGGAATCTACAGTATACTGTGACATCTACACACTGACCCTGACCTTGACTTTGACAATTGACCTACTTAACAAATATTTTAACATTGGCCGGAGAAAGATACAAAATACCACAAATTGCACCTTATTAACCCCCAAAAAAAGGAAAACAGGAGACCACAAATCTATGCATTTGCTCATTTGATAACACTTTTGATTAAGTCATAGCTTTTTGATTCATAGCTTAATTTTGTCTATAATGTAAGGTAATTAAAATATAAATTTAAAGACTGAAAATTGTAAATTAGAAGAACAACAGAACCAAAGTAAATTGGGAAAAGCATTGTGTTTAATGGGAAACAATACTAATAGTAGTTTGGAATCAGAAAGATAGTGGATTTTTTAGTTTTGTATACATCATTCAGTTGACCTTTCTTTTGATCTAAAAAAACACATCAGCGATTAAATGAAGGCTATAGATAAAAAGGATCTACAAACATTTTTACTAACTATTTCTATAATAACAGTATATTTATTGCCACCTCTCGTAAATGAGCAGCTTTATTCAATTTATTTTTTAAAACATTTTTTTACATTTAAATTTTAATTTGCAATACCATAATTAATTTTCTTCTAGTTGAACAGGGCACAATTTTGCACACATCGGATACATTTTACAGTCACCTAGAAGCGAGTTTATCTAACGAACAAGCGTTGAAAAGGATCCTATCGCCATTCCGATATTTTGAAGTAGAATGTCCACCAAAAGAATTGACTTGTAATCAGCAAAGCTCAATTAACTTTGTTAAGAAATGTATTGTGGAAACTGTACAACAGCTGCCACAGTGGGGAGAAAAGATCCCTTTAAAATGGTTTGAATTGGAGAGAATTCTTAATCAGAAGAAATCAAATGGACATAGAGTTTTAAAGAGGAATGAATTGAAAGAAACAGTAAAAACTTTTTCTATGGACGAAAATGACTTAAATGATGTTCTCCATTTTTTACACGAAATAGGAAAAATTATTTATATTTCTGTGGATAAGCTCAAGGAAACTATTATCATAGATGTTCAGTGGTTTGTCGATGCATTCAAGTATATCATAACTGACGAAAAGCATTTTGCTAGGATAGACAACAAGAACCAACTCGTCAATACCGGGAAAATTACTGGCCGGTACATTGAAGAGATATGGAAACGTACCGTAGACAATCATGTACATTGTTTTGATAAGAAAGTTACTATTAAAACCGATAAACATCATGATTCCTTATGGCAATCTTACTTAAATCATAAAGATGAAATTCTACAGTACATGGACAAACTTGGCCTGATGACAAGAATAGAAGGACATATAGGCACTGACGATGAGGAGGAGATGTATTACATTCCAAGCATGAACCGAACCGACCTTTCTGATGACAGTAAAGATGAAATCAAAGGACAACAAAAATCAGCTATGATGGTGTACTTTTTTAAGTCCTATCTGCCCCATTTTTTCTTTTTTCGATTGGTGGTAAGTTGTTTAAAGAAATGGAAAGTTTGCGATGAAAATTCTTTTTTTAAAAACGCTGCACTTTACAAGGCAGAAGAAGCTTGTCATTATTTTGCCATTGCCGTCAGCAAAACATCCATACAGTTACAAATTTTTACGCGTGATGAAACCGTAAAACTGGATGATAAATGTGTTAAGAAAATCAGACAAACCGTGGAAGATTTTATAAAGGAATTAACAGAAACATTTCACAAGGGAATTATTTATGATATTGGTTTTTCATGTAGCGATATAAAAATTACAGATGAAGATGAAGAATTCTTTTTGAAAGGGACAGACATTAAACGAGAAATTGAAAATTCGAATGAACTAACTTGTCCGAAACATTTTCGTGGTGATTACATACACAAAATCGATACATGTAAGATACGTATGTGTTTGTTGGAGAGAAAGTCCACTCTAATTTCAAGTGACAATTAGAAAGTTTTCTTCCGACCTGCAAAACCTTTATCGTTTTTTGAAAAAAAAAATTGTGCTTTTGTACATACATTTATTTAACAAGGGACAAAAAGGCAAAAAAGACATACAATTAAAACTTACTAACGTATATTCCTACAGTATATATCTTTTAATTTGAAAATGTTGTCTTTAACGTCCTATTTTATTATATTTTTTATATGTACGCAATAAGTATCATCACTTATTTAGAATATATAATAAATTAAGGGCATCCACTGAAAATTCACTTTTCTTTGAAAAAAAAAATCAAACAGAAGCTCTAAAAAAAGTTTACGACTGTGAACACATTAATTTTGATCACCATATACATGTTATACTGTAAAGCATTTTGAAGAAAAAAAATTGCCAAAGGTATCTCTAAATAATTTTATTGAAAAGTTTGTTTAGGGCAATTGTTTAATAGATACATTATATATTTTTCCATATCCTTATATGTCATTCACGTTGATTATATTAAATTTTTATTTTATTTTTCAAATCGATCAAGAAAGACGTGTTTTTGTAAAGGAATATATTGCTGTGTTGTGATTTTTACATAATTACTAAATTCAAACATTCTTTTCCTTTTGATTCATGATTTAAAATGTTATACAGCATGTACAGTGGGGAATCATAATATATTTATTATGAACAAAATGGCTTACCAATCCGGTAAAATTACAACTATCTCAGGATAATAAATAGAAAGTATAAATGAATCTTACTCACATTTTGTGGCATTCCCATTTGAACATGTATTTTTCTTGTTCATTCGTTGTAGAAGAGATCTGTAAAGGTTCATAAACTAGAGCCGAGCTCGTTGCAAAGCAACGAGTAGGTCTTCCGTTGGAGCTGTGGACAGGAAGTACCGACCTTGGGTCAAGGTCACTGCACTTTCTTATGTAAACAACCTTTTCTTCTTATCATGAGCCTCCAGTGAATCTTAATTACAAAGTTTTGCTTGAACATTTTTTCTCTCTCAGTGACCTTCATTTGCCAGAAAGACCTTTGATCAGGGTGACATGACACATCCTCCAATCATAAGTAATCTATGTTTCAAGTAAGAGCCTCCAATGATTTTCACTTACTAGTTCATAGCCTGGAAAAGAACAGATTTCGTCTGTCAGTGACCTTGATTTTAACAGAATAACCTTGGCTCGTTATCAAGACAAACCCTCAATCTGAAATAACTTTTAGAAATTCATAACTCTGACAGGTGTTTTACAACTTTTCTGTTATTGGCCCTGAATTTGTTAAAATGACCTTATTTTAAGTCATCTGAAAACCGGCGGACTATAGTCAATTTGTATCAAGTATGAACTTAAACAAATATAGTCAGATTGAAAAAATACTATTTTCTGAGTCAAAATCGTAAAAAAAAACTTTTTATCACAAGCAATCTCTGTATCAAGCTTGATTACATCTAAATGAATGCAACAAAACATTAATTCTTTCTCCAGTGATCTCGAATTCCCCGTAATATTGCCTTGAATAAATACAATGACACATTCTAGGATCATTTGAAATCTTTGTATCGAGTACAAGCTTATAGTTTCTTTATGTTATAGCCTGGCCTTCTGGGAAAAACTTTCAGGGACAGACAGACATATGGACAGTTAAACAGACCGTTTCATACCCGTCCCATCCACACTACCCCCCAAAATACACAATCACTTTGCAAGGGAAAACTGTAGTCATGATTTGAAAAAAAGTAATTTTTTTTATATCAGGAAGCTTTCATAAATATGGTTTCTCATACTTGCCCTGAAGTTCGTAAGAATAATATTTCAAAACGACCCATTCTTTTTTTTAACTGACCGTTTTCTTCATTGTTTTCATTTTATATCCCCCAAGGTTGCCCGCATAGCGCAGTGATTAGAGAGACTGCTCTATAGTCGCGAGGTAAGGATCAGCTCCTTACGTCGTGGTTTCGAATCCCACTGTGGGACATGGGAACCTGTTCTTCCGATGAGACCGTATAAAACAAGGTCCTGTGTCGCTTAAGGTGCTGGCACTAAAAAGATCCCTCCCTGCTCAAAGGCCCTAAGTGCCGATCATAAGACAATTAATGTTTAACTATGGTGCCGGTTATGATTTTAACAGTTTAAAATAGGAAATAAAAGTGTGCAATTACATGATAAACTTCTGATATTCAGTACATGTAGCTGCAGATTGTTATATAAGTTCTTAAATTTTCGATTCCGTACATATGATGCGGGTTTATTACTACTTACATGTTCATTGTATAACCTGCTACTGATATTTTTAAAATCAATTAAAAGGTAAGCACACTTTACTAATAATTTACAGGTTTTGAATAAATTATTTCACAATTTCACAAATTAAATTCATAGCTTTAAAATCTTGCATCATTGTGCAAGCACAGAAATCACTTATGAAGTTTACAGGTGCGGAGATACTAATCGATGTTTAGTCCATTTCATTGAGCATAATTCTAATTAGATCCTTATGATTCGGAAGATTTTCTTTAAAAGTTTAAAACTGAAATAGCCAATAAAATAAAATGTGTTTGGGAAAATTTGTGTTGAAAACATATTAATTGTGTGTTAAAAGCACAAATTAAGCTTGTGCATTTAAATCAATATTGGTTGAAGTTAAGTAACCGCAGATCGTCAGTCCTTACGCTATGAATCGTCAAAATGAAAAGTAAAATTACACATTGAACTAACGAACTATAAAAATTGGAAGATTGATTAATGTACATATAAAATAAATACCCCAGCGTTTTGTTCTAAAGTCTAACCTAAGATATTTTAAAATATTCTTGAAAGATTTGATTTACTTACAGAAAATAATGTTTTCCGTAAGTTTGTGAAATTAGATTTAACATTCGACCACGCTGTGCAAATAAATGTCAACAAGCGATGGAAGGAATGATTGGTGGCGTAATTGTAAACACACACAAAGCCTAGATAGCTGTTTTAGATAAACATGTATCGCAATCAAATTTAAAACAAAGATAAGCCAACATATTACATGTAATCTCAAATATCCGACAATAAAAATTTTCCATTAATTGTAAAATAGTTTTAATACACCAATTATTTTGTCTATGACTACGGGGTCAATGGTTCGCCGCGGTGTGTCGCTCTAGATTTTCTTGGAACACGTGTAATCGTAAGATTACGCAATGGTACACACGCTAAAAATCTGGGTTCCAGGTGAATGTGAGAATCGCGCGGTAAATAATTTTTGTATTATTGGACTCTTTGAAAGTTCTTTTTATGAGATCCGGGCGTGTATGGTTTTCGTTCATATTGTTTGTGTTCATATTTTAACGAAAAAAAGATACCCGTGCTTTTTTCTAAAACTCTTTCTCTTGGAAAGATCTTGATTAATAAAAGGAAAATGATGCTATTGAATACTCTGAACGGGAACCAAAGAACACGTTTAGAACCTAATTAAATAAAAGAGATATGATACAGCATTGTAAAATATTTATTACTTACGGCAAGTTTACTTCAATTCTGCGCATAAAGACTACAGAGTTTTCCTTCAATAGCAAGATGAGAACTGTCTAGCTTTCTTTCCTATAATACGTTAGACTCAAACAAAATAATATTTTCATAGGACAGAGATAGTATTAAGATACAATTTTATATATTAAAGAATGAATTTAACCATTCTGTGTTTTTATTTGTGTATAACTGTGGGTCGCTGGATTACCCGCAGATTGATTCCCGGTGACCGACTTTGCCCCGCGATATCGAGGGAGGCGTGTTATATAATTGTAAACAAACAAGGAGAATGTAATCGGAAAAACACTACCTGTTTACCTTGCCTCCTTACGCAATATTCCCGGCATAATCGAACAAAACAGCATTTTCATCAGCTCAAAAAGGTGTAAAAGAACAATTTTGTTCGTAAGATCTAGATCGAAATATTTACCGTTTTTGAGTTATAAATCAAAATCTTTCAAGTTCCATAGAGCCCTAATTATAGGGGCCAGCCCCTTTTGAATATCATTATATGAAAGCCCTTGCAATTGAGCACATTTTTTGTTCATTATGTCTTAACAAAATATTTTTAGTTTTCAAGATAAAAAGGGAAATATGTGTAAATTTTCGTTCTTTTAGGCGTTCTAATTTTTGACCCCTATATAGCGCCATTTTTAATACAGAAATCGAAAAACAAAACCCGATGTGCACAACTTCAATCCTTCTGTTACATAAAATCAGTAAAAATTCTGCTTCAGCTTTTGTGGTCTCTGAGCCTTTATCCGGAAACAAAAGCCTATAAATTTTCGTTTAAAGGGAAATAACTCAAAACCGGAAGTGACTTTTTGAAATTTTAGTCAGCATTCTGCTAGAGTTCATAAACGTCTATAACCTCTGAAAATTTGAGCGAAATCCGTTGAGAAATGAGTGAGATATGAGGCCTCAAAGTTGCGGTCTAGGAAGCAGAAGAAAAAAAAGAATAAGAATCTTGACCAACAGAATCAGTAGAAGGTCTTCCGTTGGAAACGGAAGACCTTAATAATGAATGCTTGGGGATGGTGGTCCAATGTCTTTGAATTTTTAGTTCGAGGTCTTTTGCGTTGTTATTTTTGCTCGCACATTTCCTCAGCTATTTTTTCGACAAAAACAATTCTTTACACATGTAATGATAGCACTTGGAGATTAGGAATGCAACAACATTAATTGTTTGAAAATGATTTTCATAATTGTGATTTAGAACAATCCTTGCACGATGGACTGTCCCAATGTGCTTTTAAAAAAGTCATTCTGTGGGAAAATATTGCAACAGTTGACTACAGTTCATTATCAATGATTTCTTAGTACTTTTAAGGGGAAGAAGGACCTTTAGCTGAAAAAATACCTGTCATTTAATTTTTTTCATATTTTGTATATATCTTATTAAGTATGCCCTACATACTATAAAGCAGACATATCAATAGGTTTCTAGACTTATTTCTGAGATATTGAGTGACAAATACCATACCCCACAGTGTCTGAGCGGAGTTTTTATTCTCCGTGTTTCTGGGTCCATTACTCGGTCGATAATTGAAATTTTTCACCAT